CCGCCCCGCCCCGCCGGCCGGCGCTCCTCCTGCCCCTCTGCCCCGGGCTAGCCATGGGAGGAAGGGCAAGGGGGGGGTGGCAGGTGCATCGCCCCACACTGCACACCAGTGCTGCAGCCCCGACCCCAGCAACGGCCCACGCGAGGTCCTGTGAAATAGGGGTTGTCATTTCCACCTAGGAGGCATGTTACCATCTTGGCACTCTCCCATGCCGAAGAAGAGCAAGTGTCCCTGAAAGCTTGCAAACAAAGACGTGTTTTTGCAAATATCCCATTGGTCTCATAAAAGATACACCTCTGCCGCCAGTTCCGGCTGCGTGTGAGGTCCGGCTGCTGCCCAAGCCTTTGCCCTGGTTGTCTTGCCTGTGTCCATTGCCCGGCAGCTCCTTTCTCGTTCCCCCCCATGCCGCCCAGGCCCCCTCAGAGAATTCAGGCCGCGGGTGCTGGCGAACACGGGCAGGACTGTACCCGTCTTTGTGCTTGTTCAGTTACAGCTGGAAAGCTTTCGAGGCCCTCCTGCAGGCCCTGCTCCTCCGGGGACAGAAGGATAGTCCGTGTGGGCCCAGGTGCGAGTTAGGGACTATGAGAATGGCAGCTGCCTCGGTTGTGGTCTTTCACGCGGTGCACAGGGACAAGCCAGTATGAAATAAAGCAGGGGGAGCCCTTCCAAACCCTGTTACAACAGGCACGGGAGTAGGGGATTTGTTAAACTGGGACCAGATCTTCAGGAAATGGTTCTTCCAGAGAATCTGCTGCTAGGGGTGATTTATTTATGTGGATTGCAAACCCGCTGGGGCAGAGACCATGTTTTTGATCTGTGTTTATACGGCGCTGGGGCTCTGGTCCCTGACTGGTCTTTCTAGAGCCCGGTTTGTACAATACACTGTTAATTAAAGCCGTCATGTGAATGGAAGGTAACAGAGCGAGCAAAGGAAACATCCAGACCAGTTCATCTGTTCACCTTTAACGCTCATAGCCACAGGCCTGACCTGCAGGCTGCGCTGTGTGGGTTTGCCGTGGGCGTTAGCGCCTGCAGCTGCAGAGAGATTGTGTCAGGCAGACACCTGCGCCTGAGCAGAGCCTGGCTGGAGGTCTGCAAGGGCACAAAGGCCAGTCCAGCTGCAAGGTACTGATATTATTAGAGCTGAGTGGTATTTTCCAATGGAAAAAAAAAATATGGTCTGGGACTGATGAAGCTACTCACAAATCCAGACTTGCTGAATAGGTTTGTCTGGAAAAAAAGAAGAGTGGGGGGGGGGGGGGGGGGGGTGGGATGGTCAGGCTGAATACCCTGCTCTGCCTCATGAGGGAGTTTGAAGCCACAGCATCCACCTCCCAGGAGACTGCTCTAACCCCCAGTGCTTTGAGGTGAGTCTCCTTTAGTGTCTCCTGCTGATGCCGTTGCACTTCTACTCCCTACTCACACAAGTAGGGACCTGAACCCAGGTGTCCCATTTGCTCCAGCCACCAGGCTAAAGACCTACGCTCTTGGTTTCCCTCCTACACTTTCTTTCTTTGCCTCTTGACTATTTATGTACTTTAGACAAAGCCGGACATCATCCACAGGATAAACTGAGAGCCGCCCAGCTCCAAATACCGCTCAGCGCTCTCGTCCCTGGGCTGCCAGCTAGAACCGGCGCTGAGTCCTGTGCAAGGTCTGCCGTGTGAAATCTTTGCTGGTATAAATCATGCCCAAAAATGAAAGCTCATGTTTCAAGCCAAGTAAACACTGATCAACTCAACACACAAAAACTCTTCTATATTTTGGCAATGGCAGAAAAAATATCTGGGGCCTATTTGAAGCCATTTTTATTCTGAATGTATTGGTTTGGATGCCAGTCTGAAAACCCAGCCCAGCGATTTGCAGAGGCCTAATTTTTGGAGGTGGTGCTGGTAACTACCTGGAGTTACTCTTTGTTACCACTTTTCATTCTCAAACTGTCTTCAATTGTGCATCACTTTGCCAAACTTAAACCACTCAGGCCAAAATTTCCAGGCTAACTTTTTTCCCCCCAATTAATTAGTTTCAGGGTGGGGGTGAGTTCATCCAACTCCAGGAACAATATTGAGGGGGGAGGGAGAGTGTGGGGGTTTTCCTACATTAAAATCATCTTATATTATTTATATAGCCCCAACCGTCAACCTGGCATTTCACAGACCTGGCGGAAGACCGCTCTGTACCTCAAAGGGTGTTTAATTTGAGGATTCCTTAGTGCTGGTATTTTTTGACTCATTTATATATAACGTTTCCTAACTATCTCTTGAATGACTTGACACTACCGCACTGCGCAGACAGCTAGTATGTGTAACCGCATGCTCTCCTCTCTAAGCCTGGCCTCCCTCAATCGTTCTGTTCGTTTCATACGGTCCTTGGACCTTTGCTTTCAATCAGGAGCCAGCCTACATTTAATCATGTCTGTAAAGTGACTCCCTGCGTGGAGATTCGCTAGCGCAATACCTAAAATAATCAGCTGTTCAGAGCGGGGACTCTCCTTCACCATATGTTCATTCAATGCCTACTACAACGGTATCCCACTGCTGATTAGCACCTTGCTGTGCTACTACGTTAGAAATAAAAATAAATTGGAATTTAGGCACCGCACAGGGGCTGACACCCTGTTCTTGGCTGGGGGAGGAAAAGAAATAGCCATTGGTTTGGATTTATCACCGGAAATCAGCCTTGGTCTTATTTTGTTTAGAGAAAAGTGTCTGTTCTCCATAGCCCTGATCCTGCAGATACAGATGGGTTTCAGCACCCAGTCATTCTGCTGAGATGAATGGGACTGCATGTGCGCATCGATGCACAGTGCTGTTTGCAGAAGAGAGAAGCCGTTTGGGTGGAAGATTTTTGATTGTGTCTTGGCACACACGAGGAACTCTGCCTTCTAGGGCTCCTGGCTCCTGCTGCCAAAAGGAAGGAGAAAAGACACAGGGGCGATCAATATTTCCTTAATGGAAAAGCTTTCAAGAGGAGATCGCAAACCCTAGCAAGTCCGAAGAAAAATTAAAAATCTATATTCTGCCGTTGATAGCGTCTTATCAATGAGTGGGTGTGATTACAGCCCCAATCTCTCGGTGTGCTGGCCCGTTTTAGAGTAGCGTGTCCCTTCCTTGTCAGCCGTGTTTTTCGTTCAGTAGCTCTGTTCCCTGGAGTGGTGCTCTGGCCTGACATTCAGGCAGCAACGTTGTCATTCCCAAAAGACTGGATGATAGCGCACACACTATAAAGCAACAGCAGAGTCGGTCCAAATCATCTCTTAGCACAGTGAGTTAAGCCAACAGGAGAACCTCCTGATTGCTGCAAACACTTGCACCTGGGTCCAGTTTCATACAGGGGAGTTGTCCCACCCAGTGCAAGAGAATTGCGGTTGGTTTTGATCTAGGAAGCTTTCCCTATTCTCTACTGTATTAAGCAGATGCTCCCCTTAGGCGTGTGTTTTAGTGGGACTTTAGCTGTCTCTTCTCTTTTTGAGAATATGCATATGTGCTTTGGGGGAATAGAGATGGACTTCAGGACCTGCAGGTGCTCTTCTGACTTGAAGGATGTGTCCACAGAGTTGCATGTGGAATTGTTTGAAGACGAGGGTGGTCGCTGTTGCAGATCCCTCTCTTGTATTTGGGGGTTGAGCAGGGAATCGTTAGCCCCACTTGCTTGCCAGTTGTTTGTCCCTGCAGGCCTGCCGTCTCTGCCCTGACCTAGTAAGATGATTCATGTTCAATGTGCAAACTGCATTTATCTGCCCTGATAATGTTTATCGCAAAGTAAAGTTGCTAAAACCACAACTGTGTGAATTGTACTCGGGGAAGTTCAATCATAGCAGATTTAACCATGGGCACATGGAACCAGCGTGGGTAGGTTTTCTTATTCATCTATCAGTTATTTTCTCTTGGGGGTAAAAACCTTCATGTAGTGGGAATAGGGATAGACCGGTTGGCTCTCAGGGGGTATGTGAAGAGGCTTGACAGGCATTGCTCCCCTCTCAGCTTCCTGTGTGTGGTGATCTCCATTCACTGGGCACCTTACCTAAGAGCTGGGGTGGGTCTGATTTTTCAGAAGCTGCCAAGCAGCCTTTGCCTCCTGCCGCTTCCTTGGTCTGATTTCCCCCACACACTGGTGTGGAGCAGGATCGAGGCCGCTAAAGGCAGTGGCTCGATATCAGCCTAACAGATGCAAGTGAGGAGGGAACTGGGCCCGGTGGTTTAGCTGAGGTTGTGCATGTGCAACAGGTTTTTTTATTTAAATTTTCCGTTTTCCAAGCAGCGGTGTCGCGTGGGTCTCCGGTGCCCGGGGGTCAATGCTTCCATTTGTGCCCCTCCCCCGTCTGCGGCCCATTGCTGAGTGGGGGGTGCTCCCCTGGCAGCTGATCACCGAGCCTGGAAACGCCGGTGGCAAAACTAGCAGTGCTGCCGGGGGACCGAGTACCCCTGGAGGGCCTGGCCAGCGCCCGGGGGCATGGCTCCCCCCATCACTATGCTACTGGTTCCAAGCCAAATTTGCCAAATCCCTGAGTCGGTCCAGAACCATAAGTGGCCCTACTACCGGCAAACATCCTCCCCCCCATCTTGGGCTTCAGCTGTTCCCAAATCCTTTGGCAGGCATCCTACTGGCAGGCCCCAGCCTAGAGGCTTGGGGTGCGGATGCCCCTGAGTTTTGCTTGCCCTCAGCCATGCGGCTGCAGGAGCAAGCTAGGGAGGACTCCCCCCTTGCCATAAAGTGGGCATAAAACCAAGGGTAAGCACGCATGACCTATGCGGGTCCTGTCCCGTGCCAGCAGCGCGGTCTCCCCGGGCGCGACGAAGAAGCCACTACGGCGATGGCGGTGCTTGCCCTAGGTAAGCCCTGGACCACGCTTGATCTGAGCCCGCAGGTGTGCCCATGGGCGCAGGGCGCGCGCACTGGGGTGCCGCCTGGCTTCGCTGCGGGGAAGGGGCAAGGAAAGCCCTGCTGCAAACCCTGGCGTTTCCTCGCCTTCATCCCAGGCAGGCTTTGCAAGCAGCCCCCTCCTCCCTGCTGCCAGCGGGCTTGTGACAGCAGCAACCTGCCGGCGGAGGCTCCCGCGGGGCTTGCGGCAGCAGGGCGGCTCGGCTGTTTCAAAGGTAAACAGGGTTTCCTCTTCCTCGGCCCGGGGCTCTTCCTTTTATAGTTATTTTCCGCGGGCCCGGCTCTGTGCAGACCCGTGGCGGTGACGTTGAGCCGGCCCGACCCGGAAGGCCGGGCTCAGCGCTGCGCCGCCCGCACCCCGCACCCCGCCAGGTACACGGGCACTGCGCGGGGAGGGGACGGGGGGGGGGCTCGCCGTGCGCGTGTGCACGCGTGTGCATGAGTGTGCATGCGTGCACCGCCCTGCCCAGCAAGGGACTGATGCGTGTGCGCCCAGGGCAGCACCCGCGAGCCGAGCGGTGCCGCGGGGAGCCGGCCCGGCTTGGGGACCGGTGTCCCGGGACAGCTGGGCAAGGGGCGGGGACGAGACTCGGTCCCGGGTGTCCTCAAGTCATCCAGGGGCCGGGAAAAGCCCCCTGGG